CGGGTGCATGCTAGCTTGGGTCTTCCGGATACAGAGGCTTGGATTATGATAGAAACAACTGCAGAGAAGCAAAAACTTGATACGAAATACTGGTAAATTAAGTTGTTTGTTTATTTCAGTCTGCAGTTACGAAATTGTGGCCTATATTTCCCATACGATTACAGTTTTCAAGCTTTTTTGTTGCATCTTGAACTTTGTCTCGAATTAAACTCAGAGTGTAGCAACATGTCTTGTATACATGCAAGCTTGAGAAGCTAGATGTCTAGAAGTGTACTACCGATACTTTTTATTGTCAGATATATGTTACATTCATTAGTCTGGCGCCTCCATCTGAACTCTGAATTATTTGTAATGGTTTTCATAGGCTTATCTCTCCTTGTTGGGATATTAAACAAGTTTCAAAATTAGCTTCCTTGGAAGGTTTTTTTCTAAATCAGAGCAGAGTTTGCCCCTAGCTACTCGGAACGACCTAAGTAATCTCAGAAAGCGTTTACTCAAACCAAATACAAACAATTTAGTTTCCAGAGAAGATGTGTCGACAACATTGGGAACATCCGTTTCTCAACAGCTCAACAATAACGAACCTACACATGGCCGTATTAACTGCTACGCATGGGAGCATAACTTTCTGCTAAGATGGGGTTCACAAAGCAGGGTAAGTGTAGCAACCTAACTTCATTGATTGTTTGTCAATTGTTGTTGAGATTGTTTTCTGATTGGTTTATCTTTTAACTTTAGAATGTGGACAATTTGAGAGTGAGACAGTATCGCAGTTGGGATGATATTAAAATCGCTGGACGGGTTCGAGACCAGAAGGAGCACGGTAGGTCATCTAAAAATCTCAGTTAGCTTAGTGTTTGAAATCAAGGAAGACCGTAATTGAAATCCAAAACACGTTTAGAAAGAAATCTCACAGGATAAAAGATTCATTGCAGATCCTTATTTGGTTTTTCTATTGGATAGAAGAAGACAAGATAAAATATTATTCACCTTATTGGCCAGCGACTAGGAGTCAATTCTTCGTTTTAAGCGGCATCCAGATTCTTCCAATATAGCATCTGTAGAGCTCCATTTCACTATAAGGATTTATCAATCAATGTAATAATGAAACTTTTTTGAAAATATCAGCCTATTGTTAATCAAATCCCTCTTATCGAAAACTAGTAATAGTTTTCGATACTGATTGATAAATCCTTTTAGATAGGGAAGAAATTAGTGATTAATTTTTATTGTGCATGTATAGTGAAATGGAACTCCTGCCATG